AGACTTCCACGGCCTGGCAGCCCTCCCGCTTCCAACTGGTTGGCCAAAAGATCGACTCCAAAGCTGCACACCCCCAAACTCAGAAATCCCTCGGGTGCACCTCTTGAGCCCTGCCACCTGCAAGGTGAGATCTCGCCTTGGGCCGCTCTCAGTCCAATGGAGAAAGCACCGGAGGCCCCCCGCAAGATCCGAAAGCAAGGCGTGAAGCCTGAAGGGCCCAGGCCAAGGCTGCCAGAGCGCAGGTCTCCCGGCCCAGGTCCCCAGCCTTGGGAGACGAAGGAACCCAAGTCACTTCGTCCCGCAATTCTTCCAGGGCCTCAAATCTTTATATGGCGCCAATCTGGAAGGGCCTCCAAACCTTCGAGGCGAGCACGAATGTTGAACAAGACTCAAAATCAGTTGGACTTGGGTGCTGTATGGGTACACTACACTCTTTGGGCTTCACAGGAAACCCAGCGGAAACCTTCGGATTTTGGGCTGAGCCAAAGGTGTCTGAGCCCCGGAACTGCGCGGGCCAGGACGTGGGCCTCTTTGGCGGTGCGCGCCACCACCTCCATGTGGAGAAGGGCGTTCTCGTGGACAGAAGGGAAACGCCAAGAGACACCCATTTTCGGGTTCTATGAGGAACTTTCGCTGGACTAAAGCCCAAGTATCCGGACTGAATCTAAGACGGAATGGCTTTGCAAAACCACCCCGACGAAACGCCAAATCATGGAAGTGGACAACCTAAACTCAGAATTGGCAGATTGAAGATGATGTACCGGGGTTGTGCAGTTGGCATTGTCACTACGCAAAATACATATGTCACATGTCCCATTTGGCCATACTTAGCTGGCATCACGGAACGGCGCCTGCTTGCCAGAGACAGTTGTCACTGTTGTCACTTCGTCTACACAAGTTGCCATGAGGCCGATTGCATGCCAACTCAATCGGCCAACGACTGGAGATCGGACAAAAGGCAGGTCCATTAAACTCCATCGCCCACAGCTATCGCCATCGCCTCTGCGTTTTCCTTGCCTCCTTGCTCCAAGTAGACCTTGCCGAGTGCATGATGCCATGCCGAAACCCTCTTTACAAACTGCCACTCCGCGACTCTTCGATGCTGTGTGCTGCGTGGTGCCCTTACCCTCGCCGAACTTTCGGGCATGTTCGCACGCTCTGAATGACCCACCTCGCAAATCCGCTGCAACAAAGTAGCCTCAGACCTCAGCGCAAGGACACACTGCGCAGCTGCCGCTACGCTACGCATATGCGCAAGTGAGCTACCTAGTGTCACTGGCTCCAAATTTGTTCCCCCCCCCCCCCCCATCTGCATCCCCACCCCCCACCACAAAGAGAGGAGTTTTGGCCACTTTCCACTCTCTGAAAAACTTCGCTGGCACCGCCTCGCCGTCTCTGGGCCGCTGGCGCGGGGTCCTGCAGGGACCGGCACTTCTCCAGCACCTCCTCGGAGGCCTCGAGGACCATGGCATGGTCCCCTGGCAAAGCACGGCATACCATTCGTTGGGGTGATGCTGTCCCCTAAGTAGACGAGCAATGATATTCAGTTTGCTCACGTGCATGTGGGGAAGCTGTGGAGTCGCACCATGTCATCCCAAAATGCAGCATAGACTGATGGTTGCTCACGTCCCAGCCACTGCACCAAATGATCAAACAACATTGCTACTTGGGAAGACATTTCTCAAAGCACTCGAATGCATGTTTGGCGCTCGAGGTACATGTTGAATTCTTGCAGCCTGCTGGGGTCTAGGGACGCACCGGCATGTGACGAAGCAAGTTTCGGGTTGATTGCTTCTAGGCAGCCTTCTGAAAGCTCCATCTCATGAGCTTTGGAATTTCATGGTGCTTATTTGGGAATTATGAGGGCTTTAGGGAAAGAAATGGAGTGCTGTTTAGCACTGTGGAGCACTGGTGGGCAAACATTGACATGCAATTGTTGCAGGACGTGCTGGAAAGCAAACATGCCACGGTTGTGACACCCAATTTCTGCCTACGGCTGGGCTGTTGAAAAATGAGGGAACCCCAATCCAAATCCAACAGAAGCCACCATCCGGCATCAGGATCTTGCGGATTGATTTCTAACTACGCAGCCAATGGGGGGAGCCCAGAACTTCATTCCAACCCAAGTCCCCCAACCCGTGGATCCCCCAAACCCCAAGTGAGTCCGCCAGCCAATGCCGAGTCGACGCGCCTCGTGCCGCGTGCACATCCACCGCCGCCTGCAGAGCCGCCAGCTCCCCTGGGGCATCACCCACCTGCAACATGTGCGGCGCGTCGGTTCTCCGAATGGGAAGACTCTCCTCAAGTTGGTGTCCTTCTAGTTTTTCTGCGAAGCCTCCAAAAAGCAGGGGGGGGGATTCTGAATTTGGGGACCCCAAAAGTGAAATTGGGCTTCCTCTAAGGCTCTTTAGCTCAGGAACCCCCCAAATTGACCAGTTCGTTTTTGGTCTCCCTATCAACTCTCCAACAAGGGGGCCTGATTTTGAAAACGCCAATTTGAGGTCTGTGAAAAAGACAGAAATAAACACAAGGATTGTGGTCTAGCTGCCCAAAATGCATAAGGTTGCGGGTTGTTGAACCATCCCTAACTGACCATGTACATGCTTTTTAGCAGACCTCAAGTAGATCAACATCCAAACAGAATACAAAGCCAACGAAGCGCCTCGCGGAAAATGCTCGCAGCGCCTTGGCACCAGAATTGTGGCAACTTAGGCATCCAAAGGATATTATGTCCTTCCGTGCGTCGTGTTGGGCGCGTTACCCTCAATCTCACCCATCTGCAGAAAGGGGGCGGCAAGCCTGCTGGTTGAGGAAGATTCTGCAGTTGTTGCGAAAGAATTTGGGGCTTATCCCACAATGGAATCGGTCTAAATGGACACCCAAAAACAGAAACTGCTGGCTACATCGGTATCTGAAGGCAAGCCATTGTTGGCAGGCAGTTGGGCACACAAAGCCTTTGACAGGCTTCTTATGCTTCCTGGCACCAATCTTCAATTCGACCGCGGATTCGCAATGGGGCCGGAAGAGTTTGCCTTTCGTTCTCTTTGAATTCAAGAGATCCATGGGGGGCCTCACAGCCTCAGCCTTAGAGACACCCTGACCCCACCCCCCCCAGACTCCCGCCAGGGATCCCAGCACTCGGCGGCGCCCAGGGCACGGCGGTGCTCCTCGCGCTGGAGCAGCACCTTGGAGGCCAGGAGCGTCATCTCGGCCTCACCCTTGCGGTCCTCACTCCAGGTCACCGAGTCACCGAGTCACCGAGTCACCGAGTCACCGAGTCACCGAGTCACCGAGTCACCGAGTCTGTGAGGCAAAGTTGAACTAATGTGTTGTGGTGTTCGACATGAGCTTCAAACGAACTGAGGGTTCTCTTTTTGTGTTGGGAATGCAGCAAACCACTGATTGAACCCAGAAGGGTTGGCGTCATGAGTCATGCTCGTTCCCTTCCACAACTGGGGCATTGAACTGACATGCTTCAAATGTCTCCATATGGTGATTAAAAGCGAAAAACAACCGGGACACAACAGTAATTTTGAGAACCCCGAAAACTTCACTTAAATAGACTCAGCAAATGGAGGAGAGAAACCACTCACGTGGGAAAATTGAATTGAGTTTCCCTCGAGTTAGCCATGAATCCAAGCCATCAGTGAAGGGTGAGCTGATCATCAGGCAACTTGGGCAAACACAGCTAGATTATCGAGCCCGTTCAAGGAGAGACCTAGATGAGTACAGTATGTTTGATCACAGGTCGGTCCTCCTGCTCGCGGTACATCTTCAAGGCCTGCGGACTGGTCTACTTCCAGGGTGCTGAGTGCATGACAGCGTGTTGAAACCACTCCAAATGTGCGTTGAATTTCGGCCATGTCAAGAGATCAAGACTGGTTTCCCAGGTTGGGACACATGGGGACTGATGTGGTGTCTGGACTCAAATCAACTGAGCACCCACTAAATCACTGAAGCCCAAGCCTGATCTGCTGCGCGAACAGAACCACTTGCTTGTGACATGGTTCTAAATGTTGATCCATGTCAGAAGCGCGTGGTTGTGTCTTAGGAGACTTGAGACTTCTTGAGAAGCCCTTGCAAGAGCTCTGGTGTCCTTTTCAAACTGCTTGCTGTCCGACCTTCAACTGAGGTAGCAAGGAGTCGGCTGAAGGATCAATCAGGCAGTGGCAAGTCTCCACAAAAGAACGAGCAAGTACAGACCAGCCCAAGTCTTAAAGCAGCCATGCCTAGCCCTTTCTGATCATGCAGTCTCAATGCAGTCAACAACAGCTATCCCTCATGCCGAGGGGCATAAGTAAAAGTGAACAAACAACTGGCAAGTAAAAACACAAAACGCATGAGATATATCTGAAAGACCAACAAGCAAAGGAAAACTCACTCCGAAACATGCTCCCAACTGCTTTCCGATGTGGTCGCCTCCTCCGCTGCCTGCAGGGCCCGCTCCGGTTTCTCCCGTGCCAGGAGGATCCTGCGAACTCAGCCCTGAGCCATGGGCAAGAGTCAGAAACTGGAGAATGGAGGCCTTCCTTTAACCTGCCACTTGCGGGTGACTTTGGACCATGGATGAATAATGGAATAAAGGCAAAACTAGGGCAATTCCGGTCAGACAGCAGGGCAGTCTAGGGGCGCTCTGCTCGAAGCCAAAGCAGTCACGCAGGTTCCATCACGGGGGATGTGCTCCGTTTCTTGTAAGCACCAAGCATGGCGAGGGAAAGGCGGCCAAAAGGAGCTCGTATCAATCTTTGAGACTGCAACTAACATGTAAAGCCTGAGAAAGGGGGGCCCAGCTACAATTTCTGTGAAATGACAAAAGTGGACGCTGCATCATGAAGTCTGGTGTGTTTCCTATTGCAGGATTCACTAGCATTCAAGTCCAAGGGGGTTGCAAGCCAAGCGCAACCAACGTGTTATCAGTTAACACCCTGCAGCCCTTCCGTCCCAGAAACAGCTCAGCAAGCCCAGCAAGCACATGTCCTGAATGTTGTCTTCAACATGGCCTGAGCGACAAAGGTCGGAGCTAGCTATGCCCCGAGCGGCTTCGCACATTCCGAGAACGCCGCTGCCTGGCCCCTCTTGTCCTCAGACTGATGGCACACCTTGGAGCCAGGGGCCCAAGCGGCAAAAAACACAGAGTACACTGAGTACATGTTGATTTCCAAACGCTTCCGTATGTGTGGCCTGTAGCTAGCCGGGCTCAGGCTGCGGCAGCCAGCGCCGCTTTGGCGGCGCGCAGGGCCAAATCAGAGCCTCGCAGGTTGGAAACCGACCACGAACACATGGAATCGGGACGGTCCAAAATAGGGAAGCCCTGTTTTCGCGGGGTGACATTTTGTGCCACCGTTCAAGGGAGAGCAAAACGAGGGTCATGTTTTTTTGACAAACTCCCAAATGATTCCCCAAGAGAACAAGGAAACAAAAGGTGGGCCGGTCCATTCATGAAATGGATTCGGGAGACGAACTCAATGCCAAACGTGTGCAGGTATGGTATCCTCGCGAGCCCAAATACAACGTGTCAACGCATCTGGACCTCACCCCACACTGTGGTCGGAGGACTTTTGAAATAGCATCAAGTCATCATACAACGCACTGATCGCTCAACAGGCCTGACATACGGCGGTCAAGCTCAGCAAGACTCATATTGACGCCAAGCGAATCAAGAATTTGTCTATGACTTGTTGAATGATTCGAAGCTTGGCGGACGGCGTCTCCCTCACAAGCAGCCCAAAAACTGATTGCCAGCGTATGCTCAGTTCTAGTGCAGATCAAGCTTTCTCCCCGCGCTGTGGTCGGGGAACTTTGAAGGATTCTCAAGTCATCACCGCACGAATTCAGCACAGGCAAGCTCCAGCTGCAGAAGCCTGCAGCGGTTCAGGCGAGAAATATGCTTCTACGAAACACTCACCAATAGATATTCGGACGTGCAACAGAACACCCACAGGCAGTTCTGAACACATGCCAATGCAATAGGACTTGGCTCTGTGCTCAGCATACCGCTTGAGCAGCGGCCCGCGCGTGCGCTGATTTGTTCCTCTTACTGTGGTTGGAGAAGTTTGGAAATAGCATCGCTCAACAGACCCGGTCCATTGCGGTCAAGCTCAGCAAGGCTCAGTGACTCCGAACAAAACAGAAAGGCATTCGGCAACCATTTCCAAGCTTCGGCAAGCAAGGTCTCCTCACAAGCCAAACACACGACGTCTCATTGCCAGCACGTTCTCAGTTCTGGTGCAGATCATGTCTTCTCCCCATACTCTGGTCGGAGAACTTTGAAGGATTGTCAAGTCATCACAGAATGCAAAACTCGCCAAATGTCTGCAATCTCAAGAATGGACCCATGAGACTTCAAGCACTTCCAACATGCGCAGCCATGGTCTCCCTTGCAAGCCAAACACGCAACAGCTCATTGCCAGCCGTGTACCCAGTCTATCATGTCTTTTCTCCATGCTATGGTCGGAGAACAAAGTAGGTTAAAGCTATCATCATAGAACACAAACATCGCTCAACGGGCAAAACAACATATTGTTGCGCAGTGAAGCTTCCCACAATGTCTCCAATCTCAAGAACGGCCCCGTGCCACGTAAACCATTCCAAAGCTTGCGGTGGCACGGTCTGCCCAATAAGCGAGACACACAACTGCTCATTACAAGCACATACTCAGTTCTATCAAGACTTTCCCCACGCTTTGGTCGGAGAACAAAGTAGGTTAAAGCTATCATCACAGAGCGCAAGCATCGCTCAGCAGGCCCGACGACACATTAGTGAGCAATCAATCTGGCCAAAATGTCTCCGATCTCAAGAATGGCCCCATGACGCTTCAACCATTTGCAAGATTCGGAAAGCAAGGTCTCCTCACAAGCCAAACACACGACGTCTCATTGCCAGCACGTTCTCAGTTCTGGTGCAGATCACGTCTTCTCCCCATACTCTGGTCGGAGAACTTTGAAGGATTGTCACGTCATCACAGAATGCAAAGATCGCTCAGAAAACCCGCTATGTGGGCGATCAATCTACCCCAAATGTCTGCAATGTCAAGAATGGACCCATGAGACCTCAAGCACTTCCAACATGCGCAGCCATTGTCTCCCTTGCAAGCTCATTGCCAGCCGTGTACTCAGTCTATCATGTCTTTTCTCAATGCTATGGTCGGAGAACAAAGTAGGTTGAAGCTATCATCATAGAACACAAACATCGCTCAACGGGCAAAACGACATACTGTTGCGCAGTCAAGCTTCCCACAATGTCTCCAATCTTAAGAAAGGCCCCGTGCCACGTAAACCTTTCCAAAGCTTGCGCTGGCACGGTCTGCCTAATAAGCGAAACACACCACGGCGCATCGCCAGCGACTACTCAGGTCTATCAAGACTTTCCCCACGCTGTGGTCGGAGGACAAACTAAGTTCAAGTTATCATCAACAAACGCAAAGATCGATCGACAGGTACGACATTTCAGGTTGGTGAAAAGGAAGACCAGAAGCAGTGCAAACTATATTGGACCTTCTTCGACGCATGAACTCCCAACATGTCTCCAAGAATGGCCTGGCGCTTAAACCATGTCCAAGCTGGCACAGGCATTGCCTTCCTCAGAGACCAAACACAACGTCTCGTTACTCACGCGTGTGCTCAGTTCTGGTGCAGATCATGTCTTCTCCCCATACTCTGGTCGGAGAACTTTGAAGGATTGTCAAGTCATCACAGAATGCACAAATCACTCAAGCTGACCCAAATGTGTCCAAACTCAAAAATAGACACTTCAACGAATTCCAACATGCGCAGGCACGATCTTCCTCGCAAGCCAAACGCACAACTGCTCATTGCCAGCCGCGTAATCAGTCCTGTCATGTCTTTTCTCCATGCTGTGGTCGGAGAACAAAGTAGGTTGAAGCTATCAGCACAGAACGCGGACATCGCTCAACAGCCCCGACACATTGTTGCGCAAATGAGCTTCCGACAATGCCTCCAATCTCAAGAACGGCCGCATGGCAAAAGATCCATTTCAAAGCTTGCCCTGGCATGGTCTGCCCAATAAGCGAGACACACAACTGCTCATTGCAAGCACATACTCAGTTCTATCAAGACTTTCCCCACGCTTTGGTCGGAGAACAAAGTAGGTTAAAGCTATCATCACAGAGCGCAAGCATCGCTCAGCAGGCCCGACGACACATTAGTGAGCAATCAATCTGGTTAAAATGTCTCCGATCTCAAGAATGGCCCCATGACGCTTCAACCATTTGCAAGATTCGGAAAGCAAGGTCTCCTCACAAGCCAAACACACGACGTCTCATTGCCAGCACGTTCTCAGTTCTGGTGCAGATCATGTCTTCTCCCCATACTCTGGTCGGAGAACTTTGAAGGATTGTCAAGTCATCACAGAATGCAAAACTCGCCAAATGTCTGCAATCTCAAGAATGGACCCATGAGACTTCAAGCACTTCCAACATGCGCAGTCATGGTCTCCCTTGCAAGCCAAACACGCAACAGCTCATTGCCAGCCGTGTACTCAGTCTATCATGTCTTTTCTCCATCCTATGGTCGGAGAACAAAGTAGGTTAAAGCTATCATCATAGAACACAAACATCGCTCAACGGGCAAAACAACATATTGTTGCGCAGTCAAGCTTCCCACAATGTCTCCAGTCTCAAGAACGGCCCCGTGCCACGTAAACCATTCCAAAGCTTGCGCTGGCATGGTCTGCCCAATAAGCGAGACACACAACTGCTCATTGCAAGCACATACTCAGTTCTATCAAGACTTCCCCCACGCTTTGGTCGGAGAACAAAGTAGGTTAAAGCTATCATCACAGAGCGCAAGCATCGCTCAGCAGGCCCGACGACACATTAGTGAGCAATCAATCTGGTTAAAATGTCTCCGATCTCAAGAATGGCCCCATGACGCTTCAACCATTTGCAAGATTCGGAAAGCAAGGTCTCCTCACAAGCCAAACACACGACGTCTCATTGCCAGCACGTTCTCAGTTCTGGTGCAGATCATGTCTTCTCCCCATACTCTGGTCGGAGAACTTTGAAGGATTGTCAAGTCATCACAGAATGCAAAGATCGCTCAGAAAACCCGCTATGTGGGCGATCAATCTACCCCAAATGTCTGCAATGTCAAGAATGGACCCATGAGACCTCAAGCACTTCCAACATGCGCAGTCATGGTCTCCCTTGCAAGCCAAACACGCAACAGCTCATTGCCAGCCGTGTACTCAGTCTATCATGTTTTTTCTCCATGCTATGGTCGGAGAACAAAGTAGGTTAAAGCTATCATCATAGAACACAAACATCGCTCAACGGGCAAAACAACATATTGTTTCGCAGTCAAGCTTCCCACAATGTCTCCAGTCTCAAGAACGGCCCCGTGCCACGTAAACCATTCCAAAGCTTGCGCTGGCATGGTCTGCCCAGTAAGCGAAACACACAACGGCTCATTGCCAGCACATACTCAGTTCTATCAAGACTTTCCCCACGCTTTGGTCGGAGAACAAAGTAGGTTAAAGCTATCATCACAGAGCGCAAGCATCGCTCAGCAGGCCCGACGACACATTAGTGAGCAATCAATCTGGCCAAAATGTCTCCGATCTCAAGAATGGCCCCATGACGCTTCAACCATTTGCAAGATTCGGAAAGCAAGGTCTCCTCACAAGCCAAGCACACGACGTCTCATTGCCAGCACGTTCTCAGTCCTGGTGCAGATCATGTCTTCTCCCCATACTCTGGTCGGAGAACTTTGAAGGATTGTCAAGTCATCACAGAATGCAAAACTCGCCAAATGTCTGCAATCTCAAGAATGGACCCATGAGACTTCAAGCACTTCCAACATGCGCAGCCATGGTCTCCCTTGCAAGCCAAACACGCAACAGCTCATTGCCAGCCGTGTACTCAGTCTATCATGTCTTTTCTCCATGCTATGGTCGGAGAACAAAGTAGGTTAAAGCTATCATCATAGAACACAAACATCGCTCAACGGGCAAACGACATATTGTTGCGTAGTCAAGCTTCCCACGCATTGTCTCCAGTCTCAAGAACGGCCCCGTGCCACGTAAACCTTTCCAAAGCTTGCGCTGGCACGGTCTGCCCACTAAGCGAAACACACAACAGCTCATTGCCAGCACATACTCAGTTCTATCAAGACTTCCCCCACGCTTTGGTCGGAGAACAAAGTAGGTTAAAGCCATTATGAAAAAGCGCAAATAGAATGGCTCAATGACCCTATAATCATTTCCAAGTTGACGCAAGCATGCTTTCCCTCACAAACCAAACACCCAACGTCTCACTGCCGGTAAGTACTCAGTTCTGGTGCAGATCATGTCTTCTCCCCATACTCTGGTCGCTGAACTTTGAAGGATTGTCAAGTCATCACCACAGAAAGCAAAGATCGCTCGGAAAACCCACTATGTGGGCGATCAATCTGCCCCGAAGGTCAGCAATGTCAAGAATGGACCCATGAGACTTCAAGCACTTCCAACATGCGCATGCCAGCTGGGGCAGCCGTGTACTCAGTCTATCATGTCTTTTCTCCATGCTATGGTCAGAGAACAAAGTAGGTTAAAGCTATCATCATAGAACACAAACATCGCTCAACGGGCAAAACGACATATTGTTGCGTAGTCAAGCTTCCCACGCATTGTCTCCAGTCTCAAGAACGGCCCCGTGCCACGTAAACCATTCCAAAGCTTGCGCTGGCACGGTCTGCCCAATAAGCGAAACACACAACGGCTCATCGCCAGCCACTACTCAGTTCTATCAAGACTTTCCCCACGCTGTGGTCGGAGGACAAACTAAGTTAAAGCTATCATCAAAAAACGCAAAGATCGCTAGACAGGTACGACATTTCAGGTTGGTGAAAAGGATGACCAGAAGCAGTGCAAATTATATTGGACCTTCTTCGACGCATAAACTCCCAACATGTCTCCGAGAATGGCCTGACGCTTCAACCATGTCCAAGCTGGCACAGGCATGCCTCCCTCAGAGACCAAACACAACGTCTCATTACTCACGCGTGTGCTCAGTTCTGGTGCAGATCATGTCTTCTCCCCATACTCTGGTCGGAGAACTTTGAAGGATTGTCAAGTCATCACAGAATGCACAGATTCGCTCAAGCTGACCCAAATATCTCCAATCTCAAAAATGGACACTTCAACGATTCCAACATGCGCAGGCACGATCTTCCTCGCAAGCCAAACACACAACTGCTCATTGCCAGCCGCGTAATCAGTCCTGTCAAGTCTTTTCTTCATGCCGTGGTCGGAGAACAAAGTAGGTTGAAGCTATCATCACAGAACGCGGACATCGCTCAACAGCCCCGACACATTGTTGCGCAGTCGAGCTTCCAACAATGTCTCCAATCTCAAGAACGGCCGCATGGCAAAAGATTCATTTCAAAGCTTGCAGTGGCATGGTCTGCCCAATAAACGAAACACGCAACGGCTCATTGCCAGCACATACTCAGTTCTATCAAGACTTTCCCCACACTGTTGTCGGAGAACAAAGTAGATTCAAGCCATCATCACAGAGCGCAAATAGAATGGGCCCATAACGCTTTAACCATTTTCAAGCTGGCGCAAGCATGCTCTCCCTCACAAACCAAACACCCAACGTCTCACTGTCGGTAAGTACTCAGTTCTGGTGCAGATCATGTCTTCTCCCCATACTCTGGTCGGAGAACTTTGAAGGATTGTCAAGTCATCACAAAATGCAAAGATCGCTCAGCAAACCAGCTATGTGGGCGGTCAAGCTTCCCCAAATGCCTCCAATCTCACAAATAAGTGTCAGGCTATGCCAACAGAGATCGCGAAGCATCCCCGCGTCTTTGTGAGGCGCCCACTTTCAATGGCCGTAGGAACCAATTCATCGTTGATGATGGAGCGCAGCCTGAGCAAGCTGGGGTAGCGTGGAAAGGGCCTTTGAATTTCTTCACTAGGGAGTTGACATCCTCCAATCCCAAATTGGCAGTAGGATCAAAAGTGCATAACTCAGTCATCTGGGCCCTCCCACAGGGCATTCTCAGACTTCCGATCCTTGGGATTGCACTGTGCAAGGCCAAGGCAACCGGCGCTCCAAAAGTGTGCAAGTTAAAGAAAGTCCATGCAAGACTTGAAAGTGCGGAGACACTGTGCGCTATGCAGACTCTTGGCGACGACTCTGCCATGCACTGTGCTGTGGGCTGATCTTGCTGCTTTGGCCTGCCCCACCCCAATGCCACTGGGCTTCAGACACCTAGTTCTCGGAAAAGAGTCACAGCATCCTCAGCACTCCCAGCAGTTGCCACAGATCTACCCTGCCAGATTTGCCAACTTGAAATCACCCGAACTGCCACTTGCCCCCCGCTGCCTGAGGTTCTCTTAACCTTTGTGCACTGAGCGCCGCAGCCCGCACCACGTACACGGCACTCTCCGGGTCCGCCACCTTGTGGTATGTTCGCGCCTGGGGCAACAGAGCAATGCGCCGGCAGACCAAGAAATCCTCAAGAGCCCAACCAGCAGAGAGAGCACCAGCGCTTGGCCTGAGCAAACATATCGCAATCGAATGTGCGCATGTCGCCGCATGTTGTTGTTGTTGTTGTTGTTGTTGTTGTTGTTGTTGTTGTTGTTGTTGTTGTTGTTGTTGTTGTGGTGGTGGTGGTGGTGGTGGTGGTGGTGGTGGTGGTTGTTGGTGTTGTTGTTGTTGTTGTTGTTGTTGTTGTTGTTGTTGTTGTTGTTGTTGTTGTTGTTGTTGTTGTTGTTGTTGTTGTTGTTGTTGTTGTTGTTGTTGTTGTTGTTGTTGTTGTTGTTGTTGCTGTCGTTGTTGTTGTTGCTGCTGTTGGTGGCTGTTCTGGTTAAGTCGGTTGTTGCGGTTCTTGTTGTTATTGCTGTTGTTTTCGTTGCTGTTGTTCTTGTTGCTGCTACTGCTGCTGTCAGCTGTCGCGTTTGTTGTTCCGGCTTTTGTTGTCGTTGTCGTTATCGTTGGCGTCGTCGTTGTCGTTGCCACTGTTGTTGTTGTTGTTGTTGTTGTCGTTGTTGCTGTTTTTGCGGTTGTGGGCGCGGTTGCGGTTGTTGTTGTTGCTGCTGCTGTTGCTGTTGTTGTTGCGGTTGTTGTTTCTGTTGCTGTTGTCGCTGTGGCTGTTGTTGTTATTGTTGTTGCTGCTGGTGCTGTTGTTGCCGTTGTTGGCGGTGTTGCTGTCGTTGTTGTTGTCGTTGTCGCTGTCGCTGTCTTTCTCGTTGTCCTTGTTGCCGCTGTTCTTGTTGGTCATAGTGGTTGGTGTTTGTTGTTGCTGTCGTTGCTGTCGTTGTCGCTTTCGTTGCGGCGGTCGTTGTCGTTGTCGCTGTCGTTGTTGTTGTTGTTGCTGTTGGTGGCTGCGCTGCTTGTGTCGGTTGTTGTGGTTCCTGTTATTGCTGCTGCTGTTGGCTGTTGTTTTCGTTGTTGTTGTTCTTGTTGCTGTTGCTTTTGCTGTTGGCTGTTGTGTGTGTGTTGCTGCGGGTTGTGTTGCCGTTGTCGTTATCTTTGGCGTTGTCGCTGTTGTTGCCGCTGTTGTTGTTGCTGTTGTTGTTGCTGTTGTTGTTGCGGTTGCGGTCGTGGTTGTGGTTGTTGTGGAATTGCTGTTGCTGTCGTTGTTGCTGGCTGTTGTTATTGGTGGTTGTTGGCGTTGGTGCTGGTGTTGGTGTTGCTGCTCTTGTTCTCCTTCCGTGTTCTTCTTCTTGTTCTTGTTGCTGCTGCTGTTGTTGCTGTTCTTGTTCCTGTTGCCGTTGTTGCTGTTCTTGTTCCTGTTGCCGTTGTTGCTATTGCCGTTGTTGCTGCTGTTGTCGTTGCTGCTGCTGCTGTTGTTGATGTCGTCGTAGTTGTTGCCAATGTTGTCGCTGTTGTTGCGACTGTCGTTGCCGTTGTTGTTGGTGGGAAGATTGTCGTTCCTGTTGTCTTTCTTGTGGCCGTTGTCGCTGCCGTTGCTGTTGCTGCGGCTGCAGTTGCTACTGGTGTTGCTGTTCCGCTGTTGTTGCTGCTGCTGCTGTTGCTGTCGCTGCTGCTGTTGCTGTTGTTGGTGTTGTTGTCGTTGCAGCGGTTGTTCTTGTTGTTGTCACTGGCGCTGTCGTTGCCGTTGTCGTTGTCTTTGTTGTTGTTTTTGTCAGTGTTGCGGTCGTGGTCGTTGTCGCCCTTGTCTTCGTGGCTGCGGCCGTTGTCGTTGTTGTTCTCGTTCTCGTTGTGGTTGCCGCTGTCGATGTCGTTGTCGTCGCTACTGCTGTTGCTGTTGCTGCTGTTGTTGTTGTGGCTGTTGTTGCGTCATTGTTGTTGTCGTTGTTGTTGCGATTGTCGTTGCCGTTGCGGTCGTTGTTTGTCGTTGTCGGTGTTGCGATTGTCGTTCCTGCTGTTATTCTTGACCCCGTAGTCTTTGCTGTTCCTATCGCTGTTGCTGTGGCTGTTCCTGGTGTTGCTGTTGTTGTGTTCTCGTCCTGGTTGTGTTCTCGTCGCCGTTGTTGTCGCCGCCGTTGTAACTGTTGTTGTTGCTGTTGTTGTTTGCTGATGTTGTTGTTCTTGTTCCTGCTGCTGCTGTTGTTGCGGTTGTTGTTGTCGGTGGTGTTGTTGTTTGTCATTTGTTGTTTTTGTTTGATGTTTGTTGCGTTGTTTGTTGTTTGTTCTTTGTTCTTTGTTGTGTGTTGTTGGTTGTTCGTTGTTGGTTGTTGGTTGTTGCCTGTTGGTTGCTCGTTGCTTGTTGCGTGTTGCTCGTTGCTTCTTGCCTGTTGCTTGTTGCTTGTTGCCTGTTGCTTGTCGCTTGTCGCTTCTCGCTTGTTGCTTGTTGCTTGTTGCGTGTTGCGTGTTGCGTGTTGCGTGTTGCGCGCGACGTGCAACGTGTCGCGCGTCGCGTGTCGCGCGTCGAGTGTCGCACGTCGTGCGACACGCATCGCGCGTCGCGCGTCGCATGTCGCGCGTCGCGCGTCGCACGGCGCGCGTTGCGAGGTGTCGCGTGTCGCGCGTCGCGCGTCGCGTGCCGCGTGCACCGCGCCAAGCGTAGCGCGTGCCTGCCGCGCGCCGCGCGTTGCTGTTGCTGTTGCTGTTGCTGTTGCTGTTGCTGTTGCTGTTGCTGTCGCTGTCGCTGTTGCTGTTGCTGTTGCTGTTGCTGTTGCTGTTGCTGTTGCTGTTGCTGTTGCTGTTGCTGTTGCTGTTGCTGTTTCTGCTTCTGCTGCTGCTGCTGTTGCTGTGGCTGTTGCTGTTTCTGTTGCTGTTGGTGGTGGTGGTGGTGTTGCTGTTGCTGTTGCTGTCGCTGTCGCTGTCGCTGTCGCTGTCGCTGTCGCTGTTGCTGTTGCTGTTGCTGCTGCTGCTGTTGCTGTTGCTGTTGCTGTTGCTGTTGTTGTCGTTGTTGTTGTTGTTGTTGCGGTTGTTGTTGTTGTTGTGGTTGTTGTTGGCGGTGTTGTTGGTGTTGTTGGCGTTGTTGGCGTTGTTGGCGTTGTTGGCGTTGTTGTTGTGGTTGTTGTTGTTGTTGCTGGTGTTGCTGTTGTTGTTGTTCTTGTTGCTGTTGTTGTTGTTGGTGTTGTTGGCGTTGTTGGCGTTGTTGTTGTTGTTGTTGTTGTTTCTGCTTCTGCTTCTGCTTCTGCTTCTGCTTCTGCTTCTGCTTCTGCTCTTCTTTTCTTCTTTTCTTTTCTTCTTCTCTTCTTTTCTTCTTCTCTTCTTCTCTTCTTCTCTTCTTCTCTTCTTCTCTTCTTCTCTTCTTCTCTTCTTCTCTTCTTCTCTTCTTCTCTTCTTCTTCTTCTTCTTCTCTTCTTCTCTTCTTCTCTTTCTCTTCTTCTCTTCTTCTCTTCTTCTCTTCTTCTCTTCTTCTCTTCTTCTCTTCTTCTCTTCTTCTCTTCTTCTCTTCTTCTCTTCTCTTCTTCTCTTCTTCTCTTCTTCTCTTCTTCTCTTCTTCTCTTCTTCTCTTCTTCTCTTCTTCTCTTCTTCCCTTCTTCTCTTCTTCTCTTCTTCTCTTCTTCTCATCTTCTTATGCTTCTTCTTCTGCTTCTGCTTCTGCTTCTGCTTCTGCTCCTGCTTCTGCTTCTGCTTCTGCGTCTGCTTCTGCTTCTGCTCCTGCTTCTGCTTCTGCTTCTGCTTCTGCTTCTGCTTCTGCTTCTGCTTCTACTTCTGCTTCTGCTTCTGCTTCTGCTTCTTCTGCTTCTGCTTCTGCTTCTGCTTCTGCTTCTGTTTTTGCTTCTACTTCTGCTTCTGCTTCTGCTTCTGCTTCTGTTCTTCTTCTTCTTGTTCTTCTTGTTCTTCTTCTTCTTCTCGTTCTTCTTCTTGTTCTTCTTCTTGTTCTTTGTCTTCTTATTGTTCTTCTTCTTGTTGTTCTTCTTCTTGTTCTTCTTCTTCTTGTTCTTCTTCTTGTTCTTCTTCTTGTTCTTCTTCTTGTTATTCTTCTTGTTCTTCTTCTTGTTCTTCTTCTTGTTATTCTTCTTGTTATTATTCTTGTTCTTCTTCTTGTTCTTCTTCTTGTTCTTCTTCTTGCTCTTCTTCTTGTTCTTCTTCTTGCTCTTCTTCTTGTTCTTCTTCTTGTTCTTCTTCTTGTTCTTCTTGTTCTTCTTGTTCTTCTTCTTGTTCTTCTTCTTGTTCTTCTTCTTGTTCTTCTTCGTGTTCTTCTTCTTGTTCTTCTTCTTGTTCTTCTTCTTGTTCTTCTTCTTGCTCGTCTTCTTGTTCTTCTTCTTGCTCGTCTTCTTGTTCTTCTTCTTGTTCTTCTTCTTGTTCTTCTTGTTCTTCTTCTTGTTCTTCTTCTTCTTGTTCTTCTTCTTCTTGTTCTTGTTCTTCTTCTTGTTCTTCTTCTTGTTCTTCTTCTTGTTCTTCTTCTTCTTTTTCTTGTTCTTGTTCTTGTTCTTGTTCTTGTTCCCGAATGCGTAGCGAAGGGTTCCCGTTTATAAGTGGGGGTCTGGGGTGGAGGCCGTGTGCGCGAGGAGTTGCTCCAGAGTTCGCAACCGTCCGCAACCGTGCGCAACCGTCCGCAACCGTCTGCAGTGAGGCGATAAGCGTTTGCCATTGGGATTTGTCGTGGAGCGTGTTTTTGACGGATCGGCAAGCGCTGTTTTCATTGGCCCTGTGCGCGAATCGTAGCTTCTCAAGCTCGGCGTGTGGTTTTGCTGCGCAGGCGCAGTGTTTTGGAAGGCTGCGTGTTCTCGTTGCCTTGCCATTGGGATTTGGTCGCTTTGAGGCGTCCTGCTTGGCAGGCGCGTGATAGTGTTTGCTCCGACGCCGTTTTCGCTGGCCCTGCCGTACAATCGGCTCGTTTTGGCGAACTTGGAAGATGTCAAAATTGGTCGAAATCATTCTGGCGCCACAGTCCCGTGCTAGTTTTGGACGCGTGTCGTAAACGTGTCAAAGTTGGATTTCGTGGCAGGCTTACTTTGCGTGACAGGAGCAGCACTTTCGAGCGTTTTGGTTGAATTTCATGGCAGGCGCGGCACTGCGGAGCTTTTCGTGCAAATTTCGTGGAAGGCGCAGTACTTTGGCGCCTGGGTGTAGATTTCGTGGCAGGCACGTCACTTTGACTCAGCGAGATCGCCCTGCGCATTTCGAGAA